TCATCATGGTAATTGCGAATCGTTCTCTGTTACGTGAAGTATAAAAGGTTAACACTGAGGAATTTTAACCTGATCATGATCTAAAGATTTTGCAGCCAGTTGCCTGGAAAGAGATTCGCGTGTCTGGTCCAGTTTCATGCAAAGTTCCCTGACTGCTGAAAGATCTTGCATCATACTCTCCTATAAATCAAATAGCCATAAAAACGAAAGGATGAGAATAGTTGTAAAACTTCTTTGAAAACAAATACCAAGATCAACATATCTCTACAAGAACCGGAGAAGAGGCGGTTACTCGTCCCCAGTTCACCAGCCGTTCTTATTGAGCGTTCGACTATGAAAAGGAATCAATTTTAAAAATTCAGGTCTAGGAGTTCGGCAAATCATCCTAATAGTCCTCAAGGTCTGTGGTATAAATTTTATTTCCGTGCACATAAATACTCACTCTTTGAGGTCCCTCTGCAATCAGTTTGTAGCATAAAGATTGCAGATTTGATAAAAAATAACATTTCTGTTCAACAATCTTAAACATTTTACCACATGAGCGACCTTAAAACCTCAGAGCACGAATTTCGGTTCTTAGAACAAACTGTCCCTTACCTTGGCTTTATTTTTCCTACGATATATTCGTTTATCCAGTAATTAAGAGATTTTCAGGATATTTTGATTCTCTGCTTGCGCATGCACAGTTATCACCTACCCTATCTTCGTTAGCCAGTCTGACCTGCTCCTCCATCTGCGCCAGTGACCGGGTGAGACTGGACACTTCAATCTCATAGGCTTGATGGGAAGCTCCATACTGATTGGATAATTTAACTGATCATTAAACAATGGATCACTGGAAGGGCATAACTGTAGAAAGCGGGCGGGGGAAAAGGCCTGGGTTCGAAGGGTTTGTGTGTTTATGTACCTCGTTGGCTATCCAATGGAATGTAAGCCCACAGGATGTGACATTTTGTTCGTTATCACATGACTGCTTTCATGCACAAAGTGATTGGTTGAAATAAAGATGTTTACGAGGTGTTTCAAGTTCCATTTTGAGGTATTGGCCCCAAAGCCTCAAGATCAGTTATTATGGCGAGTTCAGGCAAAACCGCTATCTATACCATATGTATAAAGGGGGTAAGTTTCGGAAAAATCTGTGGTGCAGCGTCGCTGTCGTCGTCGTCGTCGTCGTCGTCGTCGTCGTCGTCTGAGTTGATTAGGTAAATTAGCCACCGTTAGGAGCTTTTAAGTCATATTATATGTTCGTAAGTCATATTTTAGTTTGCCGATCGTCTTATATCGATTTGACTTTTATTAGGAGGGTTTGTGGCTAACAATGGAACAAGTTTAAATTTTTCGTTTCAACCATATTAGCTTATTTTAGATTAGTCACTAAACATCCAGATGTTATTACAAACGCAGTCGCAAAATCTTTATTTCAGTTTTACAAATAAAACAAACATTTACTAAAACTTATTTCTCGTAGGATCGTATTTAATTTCGTTAAATTTCTTAAAACGACCTACCATAGTCATTTACAAACCCGTTTGCTTACAACGCGCATAAAATTCTGAATCCTAGAGAGCTACAGTTATCATAAACAAAGTAGAAATCGATCTACTTTGTAAATAATTAAGACTTATGCTGGCTAATTTTTGTTATCGGTTAGCGGGGTTAGTGTTATGAGTCTATGGGTTACATGTCGGCTCTATTTTACACAACCTAACCAAAATTTTTAATCAGTCAGTGTCATTGCTTATAAGTTATTATTTTGTACTTTTGAAGTTGAAGGAACTAAAAATTTAAAAGGATTACAGAGTATGAAAAAGGTTACGTTTTATTGTTCTTTTAAAAGATTCTCTTGACGCAAGACCAAAATGTGCGGAAATATTAGGAAAAAGAAAATTACTGAATACATGTACCATTTTAAATCTAGATTACGCTTTGAAATTTAAATAATCAATTAGTCGATTTCAATGAGCACAATAAATGACAGTTAGTAAAATATTTCATTACTGCCTTTCAACAATTTTCCTAGTTTGGAATTCCCCATTTATGAAATCATTCAATCACAATTAGTAATTCTTTATCAACCCTTTAACCCCTAAGACTGACCAGCTTCAAATTTCTCCTTACATACTCAAGCCTGAATCAAACATTAGGGTCACAAGAATCAAGGAAATGATCACCAACTTATAAAGCTCTTGATTTTTAAACAAATTCTCCTTGTCAGCGCTTCAGGAAATGTATAGAGAACAGTATGGAGAATATACATACTGATGTTAGGATGTCAAGGGTTAAAATTAAGTATGCTTGTCTTTTTCTCATTTCATTTTGAATCAGAAACTTTATAAACAACCAACTACATGCTTAATATTTATAAAAGTTGTCTCCAGTATCTAAAGTTCGATATCAAAGTTGAGATTAAATTTTTGCTATTCAGAAATCTCCTCGGATGATAAGCGTGGATGCAATACATTTCTCCTCATCAGTTGTCGTTTATTCCTAAGCGAAACTCTCACCTGATGAAAGATTTCCAAGACAAATTCAGGTTATATTCAGTTAAGACTTTGACTGTAGTTTCATCCCGTCCCGCAAAGCGAGAATTCTCGAGGGCTGCGTGACAAGACCAAACTATGACTGCCAAATTAGCCAGTAAAAATTTTACTGTGAAAGTTTTCTTAGCAATGGTAATAGAATTTGCTCACGTTTATATAGGAGTTTAATCATAAGATATTATTTCTTTAATGTTTATTAATTCACGTCCACTACGTAAACAGAATTGTATTTTTTTAGCGTTTGCCTTTGCAATATGAAGCATCGTTATCTTTAAGAATGATGAAATGTTTTTCTATGGGTCAGAAACTAGAATGTGGTACACCTTCTCGCCAATTTCCGCAGCATACAGTCTTGAATATCCTCGTTAAATTCTTTTTATTCCCTTTAGGAGAGGCCTTCCTGTATATTTTTATTATGATTTAAAGAGTATGGTCTGCGCTAGTGGGGAGCTAGTCGCTCAACATTAATTTCATGTGAACCCGAAAGCGAGAAACATGCATAAAATAAATTGTCGCCACCAACCTGTTGTATTTCACTTTCAAGCCTTCGTATTTTATCGCTGAGTTCCATCTCTGAGCGTTCTTTCTGTATTAGTTCCATGTGATAGTTATTTACTTGTCCGGCAGAAGCCTTAGACTCCGAGACAAGTCTCTCCGTTTCACCAGACAGAACTCGGTACTGCCCTAGAAGCTCCTCTTTTTCTTGTTCCTGCGGACAAATGTCAAAATAATGTAGCAATAATCTGGGATTACACTGGGTTTGTTCTACTGCATACAGAAATGATAAAGAAATCCTGGGCCACCCTCTAAACCAGTCAAATGTAAGAATAAAACCAATATGACCTGGTAAGCCGCGTTTTCCCGCGCTTGACTCCACACTGTGATTGGTCTAGAAATCTCATGCTACCCTCTAAACCAATAAGATGTAAGAACAAAACCAATATGACTTGGTAAGCCGCATTTTCCCGCTCTTGACTCTACACTATGATTGGTCTAAAATTCCGGTGCCAACCTCAAAAACCAATCAAATGTTAGAGTAAAACTAAGACGACTTGGTCACCCGCACTTGACGCGTATAACACGATTCCTCATCGACTTTTCCTAACATTTCCTTTTGTTCTTATTGGCCGATGCGGTCACGTTGAGTTTGGATCCACGACTCTCGACCGAGAGGCGCTTTTTCTCGGATAAAATTTTTAGAATTCATGTTTCTCTTTGGATAAATGGGACGAAAACACTAACAAACACAAAAAACTTACGATATTTTGCTAAAAAGAAGGGTTTTTTTTATCCAAGATTCAAGGATGTTGTATGGAACAACATTGCTAAGACGATGATATTACGACGAGGAGATCTAACTGTGGTGAACCAACCTTTTGAGCCAGAAGTTCTTCCACTCGAGCCACTTGTCTGGCGTACTCAGCTATTTGTACCTTCAAACTCTCTTGTTCTTCCAAAGCGTCTTGAAGTTGCTGATGAAGAGACTGGAAAATAGGCATACCATTTTATCAGTCTGTCCCAAAACAAACAAATTCTGAACATCTTTCCCGCTCTAAGGTCAAGGTTTGATTCCTCATAGGGACCCAGAGTTTCTGTTATTTTATCTGCGATTCACATATCCACCTCGTGATGCCATAGCTCACCAAAGAGTCCATTGTGGATCAGGCGTAGAACATCACGGGCGGAATCCAAAGGCCTGAGGTTCGATTCTCAGTGGGGACTCAAAATATTTCCTTTACTTACGCTCGCGAAACAACAAGCACCTTTTTTCATCTGTCTCGCTTTTACAGATTTATAAATTTTTCACATGTTGTACTTGGCAGCAGTTTTTTCATATGTTTTCCGATGAAACTTTTCGCAGGAAATGGCGCGCAGCTAGCCAAATTGAATGATCCCTTTGCGCATGCCTGACGTTCGACCGCTGCGTTTACCAGCTAAGTCAATGAGTTAACGGTAAGCCAAACAATGACTAGGTTCAAATGTGACACTTGCCCTGCATACTCAGCTGCTAGGATTAGCAATGCCTAAAGCGTCGCAGTGCCTAAAGAGTTTCGATTGCTTTATCTCTGAATGCAAGCTATCCATTCCACAGCCTCGCACTAATTATTTTAAATTAAGCTTTAGCTATAGCGGGGCTGTGTCATGGAAAAGCCTGCCTAAGGAGATAAAACAATCTAACTCTCTTAATGAATTCAAATTGAAACTAAAAATAACACACTTTCCAGAGCGATATTATCTATCACTCTCCTTTATATATACAACATCCCTGTTAAGCAGGTTTATTGATTTTATTACGAGTAGCTGGCCTTCTGTTAGTTAGTGTAGTTAGCGTCTTTTATCCTTTGAGAATGTACCTGAATGGAAACACTTTTTTTTTTTTAACTTAATAACTCCCTCTTGCATGGCTACTCTCTTCACTTACCTGATGTTCCTCAGTCATCGTGTTAAGATCTGCCTGCAGTCGCCTGTTCTCTTTCAAAGCCACTTCTCTCCCTCTTGTCATTTCAGCCAGTTCATCGTCTCTGGAATCTAACTGCCGCCGTAGACTCTTTATTTCTCTATCTTTGAGGCCGCTCTGTTCTAAAGCGTGACTGTTGGTGAGAAGAAAAAGAAAAAAAACATAAGGTATGAAATTTTGTTTTGCCGACTTTACCTCGCCGAGTGCGTTGAAGGTGGAGACAAGGCGGCCTTACGGTTAGCGGGCTGAGCTCTTAGAAGAGAGGACTGGGTTCGAGACCTGACCGGGTCGTTGTGATGTGTTCTTGGGTAGGACACTCTACTCTCACCATGCCTCTCTCCACCCAGGACTACAAATGGTTATGATTAGGGAAACCTGGACTAGCATCCCATTTAGGGGGGTGGGGGTGGGGGGGAGAGAACTCTTCCAGTCACTTAAAGCTACAGAAACCGAAATAAGCTTTGAATTAATGGTCCTCTTTGTTTTGACTATAGACTTAACTAGCTCTTCTACTTCGTTAAACCAGTTTATATCATGAAAAAGCATCGCAGAATACCTCAACTGGGCCTCGACATCTTCCATGTTCATCTTTAATTCGCTCTCAGCTTTCTCCTAAAGGCAATGAAAGAAAAATTACGCAATGATAAACTAGCAATTGCAGGACCGCACATTTTTTATTGTCGTTGTTTTCGACACCTTCCATCATTTCATTTAGTTATTCTCCTCGAGCAGTCACCACCTTCAAATTCGTCGCTAAAGGAACTGACTAATTACAGCGAGGTATCTCGATATCAAAGATATCGTTGTGTATTGAATAAATTTATCATTCACGTAATCATGAATAACGATTTTAACGAAGTACGCTAATCTCGACAGATTCAGCTGCGAGATCCGTAGTACGGGAATAAAGTGTTGGCTTCTCTTGCCGCGACACGCGAAGTACTGGAATATTTACTGAGATTACATTGTAATAAGATTCAGGAAGATTGCAGAACGATTGGTTGAGCTGTCAATATAAATAAATCTTACCTCATCCCCATCAATGTATGTTTTAAGATAATTTAGCGAGTGCAACGCTGCTAACCACGCCATTGAAGACACAAATGTTCAAGAAACAAGTGAAATCGAAAGATCTAAACTATTCCTTTGTCCTCTGTGGTTTCTGGAACTCTGTTGATATCGCTTTTCAAAACAACGCTTTCTTTGAATAATAATTCTCTAGTACCGTTCATACACTTCTATAACAGTTAAAAAGTAACTCAGCAAGTACAACTTTCGTTCGATAGTGTCATCAATTGCTACTACGTAGTAATTTCGCGAAAAAAAAGGACATCGAAAATTGTTGTAACGACAGAAGCACTTAAGAAAATTGTGCAATTAACAACCCGGCGTTGTTTGATAAGAAAGTCAACAAAAAGAACGCCTCATGCCAGAAATTCTATCGTGGATTGTCTTGGGCAAACAATTAGTTTGTCTTTATTGGAACCGGAAAAAAAAACCATTATGTACACCGTAGTATCAGTTTGCATATTCTCCATACTGTTCTGTATACAATTCGTAAGTTGCTGACAAGGAGAATTTGTTGTCTAACTAACCAGTTGTATTTTCTTGGCCTCCATTTGAATGATCTCTTCCGTTTTCTCGTCCACTTGCTGTTGTAGGTCATCTCTCTCACGATCCAATGATTTCAGACTGGCTTTTATCTCGGCAGTTTCAAAACTCTGCTCTTCATTTCTCTTCTCAATTTCCTCTAGAGAGACGAAAAAAATTAGCGTTTAATAAGAAAAATGGTAATTTTTTAACTCTCTTGTCAACTAAATAGAAAGAGGGAAAATCGGAGTTTCCCACAAGAAATTAGCCCCAAATTTTCGGATACCGCGCTCTGCCCCACCACTGAGCCACAGATAACTATCAACGCTAAAGCAGGTCATTTTAAGTTTCTAGACGAAAGGAGTTTTGCATGTTGCTAGGATCAGCACAACATCGCGCAAATAAAAAGAATGAGGAAGACATTTTTCATTCCACATATTCGCTTGGTATGTACGAGTTTAGTAAAGATTTTTCTCTGTGAGAGAACATCAAAAGACAAAACCGAAAGATCTGAGGTTATTATCCTCGTGGCGAACTGAGGTTTTTTTTTGCTAAACCCTTGTGACAAACTTGTTTGTGATCTTTCAAAATGTTGTAGCATACAGACCTAATCTACGCTCCAACTGAGCACATTTCTCTTGAGATGCTTGTAGCTCCCCTGCCTTCCTGTTCAGCCTCCTTTCCCTGTCTTCTGCTGTGCGATTAGCTTGATCAGCGGTTAGCTGTACCTTGTTGACCTCGGATTCAAGTTCTAGGGCCGAGTCCTTTGCCATGGAGAGCTGGGCCGAGGTCTGTTTCAATTGGTCCTCGAGGTTGGCCACCATGTTTCTTAGTGACGTCACTCGAGCGTGCATCTCATTCCTATCTGCCTCTACCTGATGTCGAGGATAATTGATTTATATTGTAACAAATTAGTAACATTATCGGATAAGACGAAAATCGGCTTCCTCGCAAAAACTTGCCTTTTCCAACATGGATTCCAGTCGCTCTATTTTATCTTCATATCGTCGTCTTTCTTGTAGACTGCTTTCCTGAGAGGCCTGAAAAAACGATATGAAACTTATTGCATCTTAATTCCTACTGCGGTAAATTTTAGGCTTTCTTCATTTTCGACATAGCTACAAACCTTAAGCTTGTCCTCTAGATTGTCAAGTTGAGTATTGGTGCGTCGAAGATCAGCTAGTGCCGCGTCTCTCTCAGACTCCACTCGTAACAAAACAGCGGAGGCTGCTCGAGAGGGTGAAGGAGACCGGGCTTGAGACACCTGACGGCGCAGTCTTTGAATTTCGTCCGTGGCCTGGAAAGAGTAAATACACATTTTTGTGTGCTCTCTTTGGAGGGAATTTCTATTACGTATCCAAAGTCATCTTTGGCATTGCACTTTTTGCTCCAATGAGCTTACAACTCGCGCCACCTTCTCGATTAATTAGGTACAAAACAATTCAAACCAATTGCGACTTGAGCACTATTAGGATCGTGCCCCCGTACGTGAGACCACTTACACGTTCTCACTTTGAGCCCTCATAATCGAAAAAAAGCATCGCTAACCTGCTCGTAAAGTAGTTGAATATTGTCCCTATCTTGCGTCAGTGTCTTCACATTCTCTTGAATCTAAAATTGACAAAGTCGATATTGTACAACCGTACAACTATACAACAACTGTACAACCTATATCATATCTATCAGAAGGCAACCTCTAGACTGGCAAAGTCTGAATGCAAAAATGACACGTGTAACTCATCGCGATTTCTGTTGCGGAAGCAGTATTGCTACTTCCCCTGGATGAGATACTAGTCCATCATAGAGTAACCCAAGGCCCACACTCGTACCCCGTTGCTTCTTCTTATTCCACGAGTGATTGATCAGGACGGGAAGGATTCAGCAAACTCGCGTTTCATCAGGGGAATCCACTTTTCCCCCTCCTCCCCAAGTGCTTTTGCACGCTCCATCCCCATCCCAGATTCCTTTGCAGACAGAAAAAAAAGTGCCGAATGGATACGAGTCTGCCAAAGCCGTCAACCAGCATACCCTTGGTGACGAGAAGAACCGAGAACCGTGTCTTGTGTAATGACCTAGACAGGGTGTAACCCTTTTTTACCCAAACATCCACACTGATCTCTATACATTTCCTCGAGTGCTGACAAGAAGAATGTTTCAATAACGAGCTTCTTCAGTAGGTGATCATTTCCTTTATTTTCGTGACCTTAAACGCGATTCAGGGGTGATTTCGAAATGAGAAATTAGATGCCAGTCACTCCTAGGGGTCAGAGGGTTGAACAAAGACCTACAGTGTTTCGATCGGATTCAAGGGCGTATATCATTCTATCACTGAGTCTAGCACTATTTTTAAGCAACAGTATAACAATATATCATAATTCCACACCTCTGTAAGATGTTTTTCGAATTTTTCTACTAATGATTGGAGTTCATCCCTCTCTCTCCTCAAACGGTTCACTTCGCTGGGGCTGTCTCGTGATACCTGGAACCACAATAAAAAAGAATTGGTGAAAATCTGGGTGAAGACCACATCGATGATCTACTTTCTCGATCAATAAAATCATGACAAAATCCATGACATAACATGACATGACATGACAAACGTGGTTGGTTAAAAGCAGCCCGATTAAGGCACTTACAGGACAATGCAGGCGTTAATTACGCTTCTTACTTAACAGTACCATTCTAATAAGCTTGTCGTGATGTTTTCCTTGTATTTCGCTGATGAAATTTCTTTGATTCTAGTTTGGCGACCCAATCGAAAAGTGGACTAAATAAAGTAGGTGAACATAATACCCTTTCTCTTGTCGGAGGTGACATTAATACGCTCTTCTCCTTCATATTTCTAAGAAGTTCACATTCTCGTTTGTAAAAGTCTCTCTCCTCCTGCAAAAGTTGTGTCATGCTCTCTAGATGTCCAATCGTCTGCAAATACAAGACAATATTTCAAAAGAGCCTTTAACGAAACGGCGTTTTCTAGGGATAATTTTCAAACAAATGCGGGAAGTAATTCAAGATCACGTTTTTTTTGCACCACTTTGCTTCGTTATTGGTCCACAACAAATATAACACAAACCAATCGCGTCTTGGCCACCCGTGTTTTCCCGCGCTTCTAATAGTTTGCGCGTTGTATCATTGAATTCTCATTGGCTCCTAATGACATTTTCTTGTGTTTTGATTGGCTACTGAGAACACTTTGGGATTGATTTCCCGGATTTTGACCTTTGCTCTGATTAGCTGCGGTGGTCACTTTGGAATTGGTTTTGATTAAAACTCAAAGGAGTGACCTAGCTCACAGGATCTCACCTTTCCTTTACTCTTGCTTCCTTTGCGGTTTGAAGGAGGCGAAGCAGAGAGTCGTTTCCTCATCATTCCTTGAAGTGTTTCACATTCTCCTTTGTAGTAATCTCTCTCCTTCTCTAACGTTTTCATTAGCGATTCTATCTTGGAGGGAGACTGACGGAACGAAAGGCTTGGTTTAATTCACTTGAAGATAATTCCAAAAGCGCTCGAAACAGACGCAAGTGACAAGCGTAAGAGAGATTTAACAAAATTTAAAGTGATATGAAAAAGAAACAACAACAAGATTGAAAGTAAGATAAAAAGTAAAAAAAAAAGGAAAAGAAAACACAGACAAGTTCCATCACTTTGCTCGCACTTGTGTCTCTAGCCTTCGTCGAGAAAAATCACTCAGTCGGTTACTATAGCTGGATCATTCAGCAGTTTTATTTGGCTTTTAGATCTGGAAACAACTCCGACGCTGATCGCACAAACAAGGCTGAAACCCACGTATGTTTATCAATGAGTTGCCTAGTAACCCTTGTTAACTTACAGCCAATAAGACAAGTCTTGGAAGAAAGAAGTTAGCAGTTAATTGTACCTTGTCTCGACTTTTCTTAGGCTTCACAGACTTGGTCAACTTAAGTCTCTCTAGATCCATGACAAGCTCCCTCTCTGAATAAACAACAACAAAAAAACATCATCATCATTCATGGCAGTATCTTAAAAACACGGCACAACATTAGTATGTGATAACATACAACAACTGGCCATCAGTCTTGTTCAATTTCAGGCTCAAGAGGTATTTGTGACAATTATTGTCAACAATGCCTTACATTGTTCATGAACAGCTCTCTTCGATTGAATATCATAATACCAAAACCAAAGTAATCACTGACAAAAGCCAATTAGAGGAAAGGAAAACACCTTTAAGAGCCAATGAGAACTCAAAGTAACAATGCTTAAAGCCCTGAGGAAAACACGAGTATCCAAGCCATGGTTTTAGTTTTGCATCTGATTGGTTGAGAGTGTGGGGCAAGTTTTCTCGACCACTCACAGAGTGAAGTAAAACAAACACAAAGTAATCCCAGATGATGGGATTACTTGCGACCCTCAATTGGAGATTACTCCAACAACAACACGTAATCAAGGTATTGGTGTTTTGCTCTCAGGTAAGACACTTTACCCTCACAGTATCTCTCCTCACACAGGAGTATAATGGGACATCAGACTGTCGGTAAAGGAGCTAAATGTTGCAATAACTTCAGCAATTAAATTTTACACTTGCTGTGTGCTAGCATCTCTTACAGACAAAAAAATAAAAAATCCCTAGTCTTCACAACCCAGACTGAAGAGAATTTCAGTATTGAGAAAATAAGTTATAAAAACATTTTATACCATTAATGGTGAGCTGGGCATTTCTCTCCGACAGACGTTTCCTCTCCTTGTCAGATTTATCCAGTAAGTCTGTGACATGATGCACATCTTGTTCAGCATTTTCCATAAGCACAGCCAGGCGCTCATTTTCTTCCATCAGGCGTTGACGTTCCTAAAAGCAAAGAAAGAAATGAGCAAAGTAATAATTATTGTAAAATACAATCCTAAAAAGAGACTTAGATCAAAACCTTGAACACTTTGCACTCTAATGTCAGTATGCATATTCTCCAACAAGCAAATAACGAGAATACTTAGTTGTTGTTATCTTGATTCAGCACCAAATTCTCATAACTAATTTACAAGGAAATGTGCAGCAGCTAGAGGGGAGAATTAACAATCAGATCTTGGGAGTTAAAGGGTAAAGCAGGGGGTACTTCAGGAACAAACAGCTGGTGAGAATGCCGGCACTGATGCTTCTGAAGCATACTGACACCTGAGCATATGGGATCCAACCCACCTTTCTGAGCTCCTGCATCTCTGTTCTATGGGTCCCTTCTTGATGTTGAAGATTGTTAAGAACAGCCTGAAAAGATCCAAAGACCATTATTAGATGAAATTCAATTTACCAGTAAAAGAGTATCAACTGAGGGAGATTTAAAAATTTAAAAATCGCCAATGAAACCTTTGTATCTGACAACTCTGATTGTATAGCAATGACATCTCTCTCTTTATCGTGCTCAACTTGTCTGGAAAGTCTGTTGAGATCTTTAAGCTCCAGAAGAAGATCAGCATTTGTTGCTTCAAGCTCATTAGCTCGCCTGGTTGCCTCAACTTTCTGGTCGACTGTATCTTTTAATTGCTTTTCTAAGTCATGATTGGCCTGCTGCAGATAATCCACCTGATAGAAAAATAAGACATGGCAGGCTGAATTAAGTCTTAAATTCCCAAGATCTGACTGTTATTTCTTATCTCAAGCTGCTACACATTTCCATGTAAGTTGGTTATGAGAATTTAGTGTTAGATCAACAAGGAAATGTGTATAGCGAGAGAGTAGAATTAACACTGATATATTATATCAACATAGGGAACTACATGCACTACTCTTCATGAGAGTTGCCTGGGTTCTTTAACATCCCCTCCAGAAGACAGGGGTTACGTTTTATTGTCCTTATCCAAGAAGACAAAAATGGCCAACCGTTTGCAGATGTCATAGCAAAGGCAGCAGAGTCTCTCCTGCCTTTGCTATGGCATTGAGAGAGCACAACAAATTGGCCAGGATTGGGCTCAAACCCAAACCCAGTAATCTTAAGTCGAGCCTGTAATCTACCAGGCCAACAAATCTGTCAAACATCCCAAAGCAGAGATTGTACTTAAATACCTGAACATTAAGATGAGCCACAACTCTTTCACTGCTGTCTTTTTTACTCTCTCTAAGGACTGCATCCACAGGACGCCCACCATCCAGCAGCTGGTTCAACCTCTCAATTTCTTTATCACGAGACTCGACCTAAAAAAAATTTTTTGTGTGTGTTAAAAATTGGTTATTATGATAAATACAAAGGCAAGATCATCCCTTAAATGAAAAAGGACACAATTGAGATATGATCCAAAACCTTTTAAGGCTCTCAAGGCACCTTGTCAATAACTTATAAAGAATTTTCATCTTTACAACTATAAAAACACTTGTTTTTTTCCATGTGACATCGTCAAATTTCTCTCATCAAGTTTTGACTGACATCTTTTATTAAATGACAGTATATCTGTGCTATAACAATTCTCAATTGTGTGAAATCTAATTTTGGCACCTAGCATTTACATAGCCACTCAAAATAATATGCAGAAGGCAGAGTAAATATTTCATTCAAACATCCAAGCTATTATCTATGTAAAGTTAAACAATATTTCAATTTCATTGTTAATTTTCAATTCACCTTGAAAATTTAAGAGAAAAAAAAGCAGGTGACATTGAGCAAGCTTTCAATTATGATAATTTTGAGATATGAGATGGTTCTATTTTTGAGTGACTTATATTAAAGGTGAAAATTCAAAGAACAATTTAATAGCCTGATGTTTTGAATGATTGAGAGTTATGTCAGAGGTGTGCAAATTAAAACAAATCCAGTCATTGAAATAATCCATAATGACATAAGCCATATATTGCAAAGTGTAAATCATACGAGAGTTTCTAAATCAATTATAAATCGCCACTAATTCAACACAAGCTAGAAGTGTTAATTACTAGCATCTACAACAACTTGAAAGGTTAGCTAAAATTAAACCTGTAAATCTCAGATCGCAGAAAATAAAACGAAAGGAAAATAGATAAAGACAAAATGAATGTCTGCAATGCAGAAAAAATCTCCGGTTATTTCGCTTCTACATGCTAAATTTTTAAATCAATATTCTGCCGATTGCTTCCGGAAGTCACTGCACTTGAAAGTTGTACCTGTTTTCGAAGACTCTTGTTCCGTCTCTCAGTGCTCGATTTCTCGTCCTGAAGTTGCGACACTTGAACTTGCAGATCCTCTATTCTTGTATCAGCCACGTTTAACAAGTCTGCTACATAGGGATCGTGTACATCATCTGCCTTGTCGTTCAGATCACGAGCAGGAGAAACCATGCTTTCAATATCCATACGTTGTCGACGAAGTGGTATTTGTTTCCTTCGTCCACCTGGAGTTTCGACAACTGCATGCAAATTTTTCTCCTGTAAGTCCTGTATCCTTTCAGTTTTCGACTTGTTTTCCTTTTCCAAAGCCTTAACTTTATGCACATATTGTGTATTTAAAAATTTCAGGTCCGCATTTTCATGTTCTAACTTTCGGACGCTGGTTTTCAGATCTCTGATAACCTGATCAGTTTCTTCTCGTAATTTTATGAGCTGCAGGTGAAGCTCATTGTTTTCTTTGACCAGTTTTGCATTATCACTTCTATATGGCTCCACATTATCTTCGTAAACTGTCCTTTCCTTCTCTTGCTTTCCCAGTTGAAGTTTAACATTTTTTAGGCTCTCTGTCGTATGAACAAGATCGCTAAACAACTTCTCCACTAAAGGAACAGATTCAATCCCCAAAGCTTGCCTGTAGCCAAGCTGATCTAAACGCTTTCTGAGCGTGGTAAACTTTCTTTCCGTCATTTCTGAAGACTATAATGACTTCCCTACTCAGCTCTTTACATCCTTCGACCGAAGTCAAGGAAATTTCCGTAAAATGTCATGTCCAGAGGAAAACCGTTAGTGATAGTTAACTCGCGGGTTCAAAGACAGCGTCCTAACAACCGCACGAGAGAGCATGCGTGACATTCAAATTTGCCTCTGTTTGTAGCAGGCCTAGGGAGAATTCATTCCATCATCAAAATTGTACATACAAAGATCTTCGTTCGCGGACATGTATGAATGAAACGAGTAGAAAATGAAGGCAAATTGAAAAAAAAAAAGAAGATTAACAGTTATTCGAACATATGCATGTTTTAAAACATGTGAAAAAGGAACCACAACATATATTTCAAAATATTGCGGTTCATGCATTGTGGTTTAGGATTAAGATAATTAGCACAAAATGTGCTAAGTAAATTCTGAAAAAACTTATTTAAATTCACAAAAGTTGTTCGTCGTGTTGAAGGAGTAAAATTTTGAAGCACTTCCATATCAACCTCAAAATCGACGAAAAATATGTGTATCTTATTCTAAGCTTAAAAAGAGTCCCAAATAAAATTCCAGTGAATATTTTTTATGTCGTTTTATCTTTAACATATGAAATAGATTTGTGCGTGATAAAATGGAGAATCTCAAACTTAGATCAATTCGAAGATAATAAAAAAAATTTTTTTTCGTTAATTTTCGACCCTCACCGCTCATATCGAACAGCAGTTTCAACCATAGAGCACGCGCACTTCCGTAGCCACGTCAGAACGTGAGATGTCATTTGTTATGATCACAACAAAATTCTGCATTAAGTTGAATAGGTTAATATGTGCTTTTAAATTTTAAAGTGTTATTTTCACCGAAACGGCAGTGGGTTCTGCGGAATCCCCGGCCATCTTTTAGCTTTCGACGTTCTATTATGCATTTTTGAACGCATGGGTCAATTCCAGTCCATAGTTCATCGTAGAAGCAGAAATTCTCCGCATCAGCTGAAATCTTTCCCTGATCTGAGTAATTTTCCCCCCGAAGTTGCTGTGTCTGTTTTGTCACACTTGAACGCAACGGATCTATGTCTTGCTGCTTGTGTTTGGAAGCATTTAGCTGACAATGAACTTCTCTGGCAAAGGTTTGTGATTTCCAAAACTGTAGTTTGTGTTCTGCTTGCAAATTTACGTTGGAAGGCGCGTTTTCTTTTCGATCAGACATTGTACTTTGTGATTATATAAGTTTAACTGGAAACACTATTTTAAACGCTGTTGTAATTTATTTTAATTAAGCCCGTTTTTAGTTTTTATTCTTTTTGTAATATGGATTTTATACTTTTAGTTAATACTTTTCTGTGGTCCTAATCGCATTAATAGCGTTTTCAAGAACCAATGTTTTGTTTGGTGCATGCCTCCTTCGAGATAAACTTTGGAAGTACATGTACCAATATTATTTGAAATCGAAAATCAAATTAGAAATTCAACCAGTCTTAATATCCTCAGAGCACAAACTCATCAGTGATGAGATGTTTTTTATCCAATCAAAAAATGTAACAAAAACTCAGAGGGCTCTCTAGCATCTCCACAAAGTGTTCATTCCTTTGCCGAAATTGCTGTTTGTTGACAGATTTATCATTACTCACGAAATATGTATTACGTGTCCTACGAACAATATAATGCGGCACAGCAAATTGATAAATAAGCTAGTTATCTTTTTGAGCCACCCTTAGGTGTGTATGAATAATTGATCATTTTAAGTACTTATTAGGAAGAATTTAGCAACTTTGTTGTTATTTTTGCTTTCAATTCAGCCTGTCAAAAGTTACATGGGGATATGCTTCAGCATATAACAGGAAGCATCAGGTAAGCTGTGTGATTGCCATCTTATTATCAAGAACGAAGTGAATGTCCAAATATTTAATTGCTTTTATCTAGTACCACACATCATAGTAGTTGACCACGGCAACTTGTGATTGTTGACATTTACAGCCCTGTATTGTGCCTCCAGGGGTGAAGCCAGGATTTGCAAAGGGGGTCACACTCAGTGTTAAAGAGAGGGTACTCACCAGTTTTTGCCACTTAGATATTGTGGGTTGTTTGCTTAAAAAAAGGCCTACAAAGGGGGGTTCATGGGAAGGACCCCCACAAGCAATACCCTTGCCTTCTTGTTGAAAACAGTAGGGATCAATGGAAATTTGACATGTTAAGTTTGTAATTGGAAGAACTTAGTGTGCATACTTACAGTGCAACTCAGCCCCTTGAGCAAATGTACCTAGTAGCTGAATAAAATTGTGCCTGGTCCAGCTGTCCTGATTAGGAAAAGAACCTTTGAGTTTGAATTTGATCCTAAGCTGATAGCTTTGACTCTGTTGAACTCGCTTGACAAGACTGAATGCTGGCATAAACTGTTGATTGCAGCATAAGACTAAACATGCACAAGCAAATATCTCATTTGTACTTAAATGTACTTGGAATTTGGAACTCAATAGTTAAAGAATGAAGTTGAAATTTTTTTCTACCACTAGGGAAAGATTTCCTTCAAGGAACTGTACATGTTGCTAGATGAGGGAACTTGCCTCTTTAATTTTGATCCACATCAGGTTGGTGCACCTATTTCATGTGATTATGTAAAATTTTTGTTTGTCCATTATTTTAAGCTTGATCTTAATATCAACAGTCCATATTTGTGTGGGTTTTTTGTAGTTGTTGTATTTGACTAGCTATTTTTTTTTTTTCAAAATATCATTTTCCCTCACATTTTTGGCTTATAAATTATTGTTCAGACTCTTAGTTTGACTACTTGTAAACCTTTTGGAAAGGGAATTGTCTGATCATGATTAATTAGTGACACAATTCTTTTAATTCAAGTTCAGTTCTGTAAATTGAATCAATATGTGAAGGTATATTGTATTTGTTTTTCACTGAGAGACTCATGAATCAATATTTTAAAATAGTTTTTTCTCATACTAGTATCAAACAGAAAGGCACTGTTTTCTGTTAGTACTTGTCTTCCCTCAGAGCTATTTTTGGGTGGCAAAAATTTACAGTTTGCATGAATCAGAAGTGAGTTACTGGCATCCTATAACTCTGTAACCCTTAAGAGTGACTTGCATCTAATTTCTCCCTACAATATTACTCCTAAGTCGCACATCAAGGTCATGAGAATTAAGGAAATGATCACCAACAGAAGAAGCTCTTGAATATTAAACAAGTTCTCCTTGTCAACAGCTTAGGAAATGTTTAGAAAACAGTATGAAGAACATACATACTGATATTAGTTTTTAAAGGGTTAAAAGAATTGTCCAGGTACTAGTAGAGGACACCCAAATCATTTGTGTGATAGTTAAGCACTTAGCTTACGTAAGACTAAAATATGGTTACGATGTTATGAATAGTACCAAAAAAGTGTTGAAACTTACTGTTTATCTTTTCTATTTCAGGGAATAAGTTATCTAGTGAGACATAATGTGTTGGATGATTCATGTACAGAGATAGGAAAGTTTATTAACTGCACTAGTACTCTTTATGGAAAGTCTGTCAGCGAGTTTCTTGATACAAGGTAAGAGTGAAAAGGATCAATAAACACTCATAGAAGATAAATGGTTTGTGCCATTTCCAACTGTTTTTTCAAGTCTCTTTTTATTTCTACCATTAAAAATCTCATTTTTCATTGCCTTTTTTTAGAAGAGATGTCTTGCAAGAAATTGTTAACATGCAGCATTATGAAGGGGTATTTTTGCCTGTGGCACTAAGGTAAATGGTAATGATGATTCACAAGCACTACAGTTCAAACTGATTTTAAACTAGACTTACTTGACAGACAATCAATTCCTTACTTGACAATCAATTCATTACTTAACTCTGATGATGATTTCCCTTCGGATTGATGTCAAAACATCAATCGCTTATGCCAACAATGATTTTTATCTGGACAACTCTTGCCCGATCAAAATAGGTCACACAGTCACACTTGAAATTACTGGAAAGCTTGAGGCTGTGCGCCAGTAGATATGAACCTCTTTTTCTAATTTCAGGCAGTTTTTTGAAAGAGTTTATCCCCCAGAACAGAGAGGAGAATTCTTAGACACCCTTTTGAACAAGTTCTCCATTCGGTTCTGTGCTACAAATCCTAGCACACCCCTAACACCAGGTTAGTAATCATTCAGCTGTGGTTTGCCTCTTTCTATTTACATCAACTTACAGTCACCTGTCTCTCTGTATCTCCCTCTCCCTTTCCCTTTGCACTTTCTCTGGGCTGTTCCTGCTGTCTTTATTCTAAAGCTTTTCTTTTTTTCTCTTGACTTTCCTTACCACTTTCAACCCTTCATCATCTCTTCTTTCCCTCCTTTCTTGCTCGTCCTCAATAAGTTTTGTGGCTCTTTTTCATTTGTCCCATTTTTGTAATTAAATTTCTCCTCCTTACTCATGCTTCTTCTGATTCACTGTGCTAATGGCTCTAAGCCTACTGTCAGACCTCACTTGTCTATGGAGGGACATGGGGGAGGAGTAGCAGCAAGGGTGGCAAGAGGGGGAGGGAGGATAGGTAGCAGGGGTTACATGAGATGAAAGAGGAACTGGAGGTCAGCAGAACTTAAGGTAGGTTAAGGCCAAAAGGCAAGAGAGGTAGGAGAGGCAAGAGCGGGAAGCAGCCTTCCTCATCTCCCTGTCCCCTCCCCACCCCTTTTGAATGTTGCCAGTCACTTTCAGTGTAACTGTTTGTCTACCTCCTTTGCAAGTTGTCTTCTCTGCTGTTTGTGTCCCCCTCCTGTAGCTTGCTCTGTTGTCACTGCCATATCATTAGGTATCTGCCTTCAACATACTCATTGTCTGATAGTTTGTGTTCCTCTTTTCCAGAGAGTGTATTTATTCTATGCCACTCACTGATTCTTCTCAGTGTGGATCTGAGCAGTCCCCATGTGAAGAACAAAATGACAAAGAGAGAGTTTGTCAAAAACTTGCGTGGTCTCATTCAAGGGCCTGGTACTGAGTTTCTTGGTGATCTCTATGATAATGTGTATTTAGAGGGACACATTGCTTTGAAGGCCAAGAAATGTGTGCAGAAAACGACCTTTCCTTTTGAGAGGCCTTATGGGAAGATATTTTTACATATGTAGTAATTTAATTAGTAAGACAATTTATTTAAATCAAGTGTTTATACTCTTTTAGGTGAAATTGTTAGAATAACGTTTTCAAGGAGAAAAACTTAATAGATTATTGATCAGCACAAAATAACCTGAGTTCAACCCAATTTTTGCAATTTACTCCAAGAGTTTTTTATGGTTGGATTCTCTTCATACTGTCATCTGCCTCAAGAAAAGTTAAGTGAATATCTGTGTGCCAGATATATTGTTTCATAGTCAAAAGGGCATAGAGTGGATTTTTAAACTCAGATTCTTTCAGGATATGAAGATGGAGAGAAAGAAAGAACCTGAATGGTTGTTTAAAGATTTTCAATGTAAAATCAAGGCAGTACTTAAGGTAGTGCATCATTTTCCTTCTCATCCTCTCTGAGTCAAAATTGCTCCAACTTTATGTTGTAAACAAAGTTTACATTTCATTTTACATTAACTACTAATATGTAGAGGAACCTTATTTCCAGCACTTACAATTTGGCATGCTGTAGTGTTGTTAAAAATTGATGTATTTACATAACTTTAGTGCTTAATTTATTTTTAAGAAAACTTGTGTTGTAAGATGTGTGTTGGGTTGAAGAACTAATTGTTTCCTGTACAAAGTAGACAATAGCACTGAGTGTTTCATAGTTTGATAAGTACTGGAAAACTATGACTGTAGTACTCAACATGTGTGAATATATATTTAAAATCATTGCCTAAATCTTAGCACTGAATAGGAAATTTGTTATACAAGTTGTGAAATAATGTGTCCATGAAGATGAAAATATATGTCAACAAATCTTGTTTTTCTCTAAACAAGTTTGAGAAAGTAATGTGATGTAGCAATATCCAGATTGTGATATATTGCCACAAGATGCAGACCAGATGGCTCCTTTTTTTTTTTTTTTTTTTTTTCAAACTTTCTATTTTCACTTTTTGAAAGTATGAAATCTATCTTACATATATGGAGCCTGCGTTCGGTTGTTCATGTAGTGTGTGAGTTTGTGTGCGTGCGTGTGTGCGTGGGGGTATATGCGTTCGTGCGTGTGTGTTTTTTTGTAATTGATTTTTAATTCCAACAAACACCCTTTTAATACCTTGAGGGAACACTACAGGTTGTGCTGGTGTTCAATATTTTTTTTTAATGTTGTGTAGACTGCAATCGTTTACAATAAAAGTTTTCAAACACGTTATTCTGACTTATCGTCTGCTTTTTTGCAATGCAAGAAATGAAGGTAACCGGTCAAGTCGCCCGAGAGTCATCTCGCCCGAAGTCATGTCGCCCGAAACCTGAGTCATGTTGCCCGAAATTTTAGTTATGTCGCCCGAAAAAAAAAGTCAAGTCGCCCGAAGAAACAAATACTGAAAAGATCAGAATTTCAGACTGTGAATAGGCAATAACGTTGTGAAATTTTTATCACTAAAGCGCTCTTTGTTTCCGACAACACCATGAAGATTCTTAGAGCGTTGTTCGTTTCTAACAACAAAGGGAAGCGTTTTCCGTTTCTAACAAAAAATGAAGTGTTGTT